AGAAACCCGCGTTTAGCTGAATCTAAAACCTAAGGGGAAAGAAAAAAGTAGATATTGTGTTTTTGTTTGTGAATAAGTTTTCTCTCTCTCCACAAAAAATAAAATCTGGTGCTTACATACCTCAAAAGCTCGAAGAAGGACATCTTCTGGAACTGGTCGGTACCTATAATTGTGCAATAAAATGAGTAAATGTCATCGATATTTCCCTGGGTCTTTACATAATAAATAACCACTGAAAACAAAATGAAAACTGCTAACATACTTGGAGGATAATACTTCCCTTACCAAAGATTTTTTTCAGTTTCTGGACATGAAAGTTCAAAGTACCTCACCCCTGCAGGAGAAGTTCAGTGCAGAGTCACGGGCATGTTTGATGCTATCGATAAAGTTATTGAAAATCAACTCATCTGGGCACAAAACTTAGGATTAACTTAAAGTTAACAAAACTTAAGTTGTATTAAGTTGTATTAATTAATTAAGTTTAATTAAATTAAAACTTAAGTTTTATTAATTATTAAGTTAATAAAACTTAATAATTAGGATTCTTATTTATCATTGATAATTCAATACACAAGATAATAAAGGATGTTGATTAACGATGTTTGTAGCTTATCTATTTGCCCTTTAATCATGCTTTGCTTGGACTAATAACAATCTGGTTGATATTTCTACACTTCTAGAGTATTTTCTGGCACTTCAGAATTAATAAAATGTTAGAAGGAAGCTATCCTGAGATTTTGTTAGTGGAGTCTGATACACAAAGTGAAATAACCCAGTGCTTTCAAATGAATGTAATTCTTTGTCTCAGCAACTGCATTTATTTATTTACCTTCTTTCTAGCAGTACACTCGTCATCACTGGAAGAAATTTTTCATATCTTATGTATCCAGTGGGTTCTTCCTCCTCCACCTAAACGTTCAATACATAGAGAGCCATTTATTCATTCAACAAATGTATTCAGCAGCGACTTTCTCCAAGCACTATGCCCCATGCTGGGATGTGATGGGGAGCACACAGGCACCATCCCTGGTCACGGAGCTTATGTTCTGGCAGATATTCATCAACTAACAACAAAGCAGGAACTATAAATGTATGAAAACACAATGAAGTGAAGGAGCGAGAGTTCGTAAGAGCACGTAAGAAAGGAAACTCTTTTAGACCAGGAGATTAGGGATGTCATTCATGAAGAAATAATACTCGGGCTGGCTGGTTTATCAAGGATGAGCGGAAGGTAATGAGATAAAGACAGCAGGGAAGAGACACTCACAGAGAGGAAATTACATGCACTGAGACTCGGTAGTGACAAACCAGCGGCTGTGAGGCTGGAGCACAGAGGAGGAGGAAGAGAATGTTTCAAGGTGAGTCTGGAGAGAGAGACAGGGTCAGACCTTGCACGGCCTTATCGCCATGAAAGTGACTCTGGTTGTTATCTTGCCAATGGGGAATTACTGAAGGTCTCGTCCACATGTGCTTTGAAAGACTGCAGTGGTTGAGAGTGAGGCAGCTGCTTCCATAGTAAAAGCAGACAGGATGAGGGCTTGGGGAGCAGAGGCAGCCAGGAAGGGAGAAGTGGATGGTTTCAAGGAATAATTAAGAAGTAAAATTGATGGACCTGGTGCTGCATCCATTATGGGTAAGGATGAGAAGGAGTGATATCAAGGATGACTCCCAGGATTCTGACTTGCACAACTGCCTTTCCCCAAGATGACCAACACTAAATGTGGGACCTGGTTAGGGGACCAACCACTATCTCAAGGACCTACCTGTATCTCAGACCACTATACTATTTATTTAATACCTACTTGGCAAATGGAACTTTTTTTATCAGCACTAAATTAAGAGCACACTGAACTTGAGAAAGAGAATTTGCGGCACTTAGCACTATTAGATGAGAATGAAATAGATTCCTGCCCATGGGTTCAACTTTGCTGAAAAAGCTGAACAAACAACTATTGACCTTAATTTTCAAGTCAGACTATTTATAAGAAGCTGTAAATTCTCCATTCCCTTTCAAATATCCTATTAAAAGATTCATAGATTCCAATTCAACACAGGAGCTTTTAACAGATTTATTCTTTGAGCAACAAAATAAGAAACCTATGGGATGCTGGTAAGTAGAACACACGTCATCCAAATGACAACTAGTTTTTAACATGTATACTAGATTCACATCCAGCCTGAGTGGAGCCCTCAGACACTATGGGCAGATAAAATGTAATCCACTTAATGACAGAGTGACGTGCTCAGCAATCTCTGAGTCCACACATGAACAACTGTCTTCGGCTGCCTGTAGGTCGAAGGTGAGCATTTTGCAAATTACCATTCATACAGCTCTGATGCACTTGAGTGGTACTCTGCCACTCCTGACCCTGGAGCCTCTTACAAATAAAATGTCAGTATCATGAGATTACCTATGGCGTCATAATTTAATAATTTTAAAATTAAAATCTTGAGTTGTCCTTCTGATTATTGCAGAAGTTTGCTCCAAAAGCATGAGCTGTGGTCACCTCCCATTCCTCACCCATAACAGACCACCTAGAGCAGTCTCAACCTTCAAAGATCAAAACCCCTCTTTGTCTTATAAGCATTCTCATCAATCTAAACGGCTTTTAGGTTGTCCAAGGGAAAACTAGACAGCTCTAGTTACAGATGGTTACAGAGAGCTCTATAATGTTGTCTCCATCATGTAAGAATTCACTAATGCCACATATGTGCCTCATATCACTTCCCTGGGTTGCCTCACAACTCACAAACCTTCATTGATATGAACACTGTGGTGAAAAGTGCACATCACTCTTGCCTAGTAGATCTTTACAGAGCCAAAATTACATGAAAATAAGTTAAAACAACATATCCAACTAATCAGAATAGCAGAAG